ACCTTATATTGGCTCATAACCGGTTTCTAGACTGAATGTCCTAAGAAAACCCTTGGTGAGACTTGAAGCTTTGAAACCAAGGTTTAGTTTAGCCTCAAAAATGTCACTAGCTCTGACTGGTGGATTACCTTGTCCTTGGGGGAGAAGAAGGCCAGGGAAGTGCCTAGACAGACAGGACTAAAACATCGGAGGCTGTGTTCAACCTCGTCAGACACCGGTGAGAAGGAACCAAGAAACCACCTTAGAGGTAGAGCTAGGGATCAGTCAGCTGAGGAAGTGCCCCAAGAGTAACAGGAGGTAGCGGCAATGGAAATGATGGGCACCAGAATAGTTGTCCAGTGCTGGGGAATTCTGTGTAGATGTGACCCCAGAGTCCTCTTTCCTAGGGGTAGGGCGGCTGCAGATCCTAGTGAGAACATGGTAAGTTGAAAAGCAACTGTGATTTATTTGTCCTGCTGTCTCAGTTACCCTTTTATTGCTGTGCTTAGTTTTAGATGCCATGACCAGGGCAACATACAGAAGAGTTTATTGGGACTTCAGTTTCAGAGACTGAGTCCATGGCCATATGCTGGGGAGCATGGCATCAGGCAGACGGGCATGGTGCTGGAGTAGTAACTAAGAGCTTACATCTTTATCTGCAAGTAGGAGGCAGAGAGCCAACTGGAAATAGGATAGATTTTTTAAACATCAAAGCCCACCCCCAGTGAGACACCTCCTTCCACAGGCCATGCCTCCTAATCTTTCCCAGATAGTTCCATCATCTGGGAATCAAGCATTCAAGTATATGGGCCTAGGGGGCCATTGCCATTCAAACCACCACACCCACTCCTATTCCAGATGCTTGGGAGGACATGATTTATCCCCTAAGTATGCCCGAATGCCTGGATTTGTATTCTTACTCTATCACTTATTAACTGCATAACCTCAAGCAAGTCAGTTAGCCTTGCTGTGACTTAGTTTCCCTCCAGGAACAACTTGGGTTAACACTATTGCCTATTTTATCATGTTTCTGGGAGGAGTGGATGTCTGGAGCTCCTGTTGCCTGTGAACTCTTGTCATTATTACACATTCAGCAGAGCTCCCAGGAACCCATCTTGGAGATTCAGAAAGGGTTAGATCAGATCTGCCAGGAATTTATAACTGAGCATACTGAAACAGTTGAGGTTTTATTCAGACTCTAAACTTGGGAGGAGGGAAAAGGAGGGCCTTTAAGGCATTCCTACTGGAGATGCAAGGGTGCATCCTGATCCTGCAAGTATCACATGGGGCTGCCTGGCCAGTGTCTCCCTTTGCCAGAAGTCTGACAATAGGCCCTGAGGAACACTTCCTTTTGAATTGGCTCTAGTGAAGCAGGACTGTTCTTAAATAGAGTCATGAGACCACTGGGTACTGGACACTGGGGCTTCATGTACCCCACTGTGTGGGAGGTAGAATTTAGGAAGTGGCTAGTGCTTTTGTTCCCTTCCCAGGCTTGCCCATTAACTGAGGTGGGTGGTGTCAAATTAAACCCTGATGTGCTTGCATTTTTCCTGGGAGCAGCTGGAAACTTGGCTGTCTGGATGGTGGATGGACTAGCAAATATACAGACTAAGTGAAGGGGCCTGAAGGGAGGGTAGAAGTGTCTCCTGGGCATTTTTAGGAAACTCTGCTGTATAATGTTCTGTGTAATTTCCTCCTTCATGTTCCCAAGAGAGTTTCATTAAAGACTGCTATTTATTTTAAGATCTCTTTTGGAAGTCAGATTCCAATTTGTTTGGAATGCTGTGCTACATGGAATGTTAGGACCTTGATACAGACACAATGGTAGTCCATGGGTGTAGGGTTGTTTATCACATAATAACTTAAATTTTTTTATCTTGTGTGTGTGAGTGTTTTGACTGCATGTGTATATGCACACTCTGTGTGTGCCTAGTGCCTGAAGAAGTCAGAAGAGGGCACCAGATCCCCTGGAACTTTATTATTTGTGTGTGTATGTATGTGTACTATGTGTGTGGGGGGGTGCATGAGTGCCATGGCTCATGTGTAAATTTCAGAGGACAACATTGTGGAGTTGATTCTCTCCTTCCATCTTTATGTAAGTTTCTGGAATGGTCATTAGGCCTATATGACAAGCATTTTACCTGCTGAGCATCACACTTGCTTCTTATGTAATAATAATTTGGTAAATGCCCCACCCTTCCCCCCGTACTGTGGAGCCATGATAAGAGATGGTGATATGGAGATAGCTGAGGTACAGCCTGTCCTCATGTTGTTCACACTGTCCTGGAGACACAGCAGATACACACAGAGGGAAATTCCATGTACAGTGGCTGCTGTGGCAGACTGAATGCCATAAAAAGCCTAGGTCCTAGTCCTGGAACCTAGGAATGATATCATTCCTGAGGACACTAAATATGATCTCAAGGGACTTTATAAGAGGGAGATTTGACCATAGAAAAAATGTGATTAAAGACAAAGCAGTTGGAATGGTGCACGTTGAAGATGGCAGAAGAGGCCTCCCAACAAAGGATTCTGTAGACTTCTAGAAATGATAACAGATACGGAAACAGATTCTCCCCAGAGCCTCCCTCAAGTAACTGTCCCTAGACATCCTGATTTTTTCCCAGTGAGACTTCTGGCTCCCAAAACTATATATAGTAGTGTTAAGCCAGGAACTTTGTAATACTTATTATAGCAGCCATAGTGAATAAGGGCATAGAATGGGATGGGTGCTCCAGCAATCATAATGTACGGAAATACCATACGCTGTAGGCAGGTGTCAGAGGGAACTCAGAGAAGTGATGCCTTTAACTCTTCCACAAATAAAAGAGACTGTCTGCTGAAGGGGAACTGAGGCATTGTGTGCGTTCACGCATGCATATTCATTGAGCCAACATTTTTGAACATCTGTTCTATATTAGGTCCTGTATTAGGTTTACTAGGATCTGAAGACAACGAAGGCAGAGTTCATGTCTTCAAGGAGATGACTGTCGAGTTGGGAGACTTGTCATTAAAACCCCTGACTTATTAGCATACTGATTCAGTTAACTCTCTGAGTTCAAGTTCCTCTACGTCAATCATAAAAAGAGGTGGCTTACTGGATGTTATGAAGACTAAGTGATAAAATACATGGGAATTTTTTTTGCCACAAGGTGTGTTTTATTTTCATCAATCATACAAATAATTTTCTATAATATCCCAGGGCAAACAGGTGAAATTTGGCAGTCCGATTAGTGGAGGGTCCCCCTTCAGAGACCTGCGGGCTGGTGGCATCGGCACAGAGTGCCCGGGTTCACAATGTAGCTTGTGGCTTGCGTCCATCTTGCAGGTGGCTCTTCCTCCACATCACAAGGGGGTGTCAGAGATGACGGGGTGGGGTTGGGTGGGGGTAATCCTTCAGTCTGGGCTTTTAGGAAATTTCACTCCTTTTTTCCTGTTCAGTGGTCTCTTTGGTTGGCAGGATGTTCTTCTGCGTCTCCGTCTTCTTCAGCTTAGCCTCATGAAAGCTGGCGATTTCCCCCATGTCCACGGCTTGTCTACCATTTTCTCTTTTTGTTTGTTTGTTTTGTTTTTTAATTTATTTATTAAAAATTTCCACCTCCTCCCCTCCTCCCATTTCTCTCCCACTCCCCCCACTTCCCCTCCCCCTCTCTCCACTCCCCCTCTCCCTCCCTCTCCAGTCCTAAGAGAAGTCAGTGTGCCCTGCCCTGTGGGAAGTCCAAGGCCCCCCCTCCATCCAGGTCTAGGAAGCTGTGCATCCAGACTAGGCTTCCAAAAAGCCAGTACATGCAGTAGAATCAAAACCCAGTGCCATTGTCCTTGGCTTCTCAGTCAGCCGTCATTGTCAGCCACATTCAGAGAGTCCAGTTTGATCACATGCTCCATTACTCCCAGTCTAGCTGGCCTTGGTGAGCTCCCATTAGATCAATCCCACCATCTCCGTGGGTGGATGCACCCCTCGCGGTCCTGACTTCCTTGCTCATGTTCTCCCTCCTTCTGCTCTTCATCTGAACCTTGGGAGCTCAGTCCAGTTCTCCAATATGGGTCTCTGTCTCTATCTCCATCCATCGCTGGATGAAGGTTCTGTGGTGATATGAAAGATATTCATCAGTGTGGCTATGGGGTAAGGCCAGTTCAGGCACCCTCTCCTTTGCTGCCCAAGGACCTAGCTAGGGACATCTCCTTGGATACCTGGGAACCCCTCTAGAGCCAAGTCTCTTGTCAACCCTAAAATGGTTCCCTTAATTAAGATATCTTCTTCCCTGCTCCCATATCCACCCTTCCTCCATCTCAACTATCCCATTTCCCCCAAGCTCTCCCCAATCCTCCCCTTCTCCCTCCCCATCTCCCCTTTCCCCCCATCCCCATGCTCCCAACTTTTGCCCAGCGATCTTGTCAGCTTCCAGTATCCAGGAGGATAAATATATGTTTTTCTTTGGGTTCATCTTCTTATTTAGCTTCTCTAGTATCACGAATTATAGACTCAATGTCCTTTATTTATGGCTAGAATCCACTTATGAGTGAGTACATACCATATTCATCTTTTTTGGGTCTGGGTTATCTCACTCAGTAAAGTGTTTTCTATTTCCATCCATTTGCATGCAAAATTCAAGATGTCACTGTTTTTTTTTAATAAAAAAATTGTATTTACTTAGAAGCATTCAGAATGACAACAAAACAGCTGCAATTTTTTTTTCAATTACAGAGTGGTATTCAGTTAACAGAACAACAATTATCTTCGTATAAGCTGCATCAGAGACAACTGAAGATGAAAAAAACCAAAAACAAACCAAAAAAAACCCAAAAAAACTACCGTCCCCATATATAACTAATTTGTGCTGTGCACCAACAAGAACCTGCTTTAAATTTCCATGCCAATTTACAACCCCCAGACTGTACCAGGCAAGGTTAGTGGCTATTGAAAATACCACCAGGACAGGGCTATCTAAAGACACATTCGGTAGTGTGTTAACTATACAAAAAAAGACACTGTACAGTTTAAAAACAAATCTTACACAGCCTTACATTTCAATTTTTTTCTTTAAAAGGAGTGAGTTGTGTACAGGGGGGTTAAATGCTTTATAGACAAGAAAAAAAAACTGCGCTAGAACCAACTTATTCATCATCATCATCTTCTTCCTCATCTTCATCTTCCTCTTCTTCCTCCTCCTCTTCATCCTCTTCATCCTCCTCATCATCTTCCTCTTCCTTCTTTTTCTTGCTCTTTTCCGCCTTGACCACCCCCTTTTTCGCTGCATCGGGTTTTCCTTTAGCTCTGTAGGCAGCAATATCCTTTTCGTACTCCTCCTTCAGCTTGGCAGCCTTCTTTTCGTAGGGCTGCTTGTCATCTGCAGCAGTGTTGTTCCACATCTCTCCCAGTTTCTTTGCAACATCACCAATGGATAAGCCAGGGTGTTCTCCTTTGATTTTGGGGCGATACTCAGAACAGAACAAGAAGAAGGCCGAAGGGGGCCTCTTGGGTGCATTGGGGTCCTTGAACTCCTTTTTGGTCTCCCCTTTGGGGGGGATGTAGGTTTTCATTTCTCTTTCATAACGAGCCTTGTCAGCCTTGGCCATGTCTTCAAAATTCCCCTTTTCTTTAGCAGACATGGTCTTCCACCTTTCTGAGCACTTCTTGGAGAACTCTGAGAAGTTGACAGAAGCATCTGAGTGCTTCTTCTTGTGTTCCTCCCGGCAAGTTTGCACAAAGAATGCATACGAGGACATTTTGCCTCTCGGCTTCTTAGGATCTCCTTTGCCCATGTTTAGTTGATTTTCGTCCTCAAGGTACAGAGTCGCCCAGTGCCCGTCCGGCTCTCGCTTGCCCTGGCGCTGTCTCTATGGAGCTCAATGTACTGCAATGGCTGTGAGAGCGGGAGCCAGACGCAGCCTCCTCACTCTCTCCGCTCTGTAACATTACTCCGATGTCACTGTTTTTTGAATAGAACTCTAAAATATATATGTGCCACCCCTTCTTTATCTATTCTTCTATTGAAAACATCTAGGTTGTTTCCAGGTTCTGGCTATTACAAATAGTGCTGCTATGAACATAGTTGAACAAATGCTTTTGTAGTATAATTGGGCATCTCTTGGGTATATTCCCAAGAGTGGAATTGCTGGGTCCTGAGGTAGGTTGACTCCTAGTTTCCTGAGAAACCGCCACACTGATTTCCAAAGTGGCTGCACAAGTTTGCATTCCCACCAACAGTGGATGAGTGTTCCTTTAAGCCCCCGCCTTTTCTGTGGATACCCAGGCCTGATTCAGACGTGCGCTTTCCTGAACTCGAGTCCACCAGAATGGACGATTGTCCTGAGGGTTAAAACAGACACACACAAAAGAGACCTGCTCACTTACTAAAGAGTAAATGGCCACTTTATTAAACTCAAGTCAGGTATTTATACCAGTGGGCAAGGGGGTTCAAAAGGGCATGGCCTCCTCCCATCAGGAGCAGGAGAAGGAGATTACAGGCGCCCGGTGCTTCAGGCAGAATCAGCTGGGGGAGGCAGGCATATGGGGCCCACTGCTAGAACCTTGATTACAGGTGGAATCACCATAACAAAAGAGAGCCAAATTCTTCCTAAGCTATCCCCTCAAGCCAGTGCTAGTGCAGAATCTCCAGGGAGCCAAAGGTCAAATGGCCCTGCTAATTACCACAACAGGGGACCTGTGTACCTACATGTTCCCCTTACTCCACATCCTCTCCAGCATAGACTATCATTGGTTCATTGGTGTTTTTGATTTTAGCCATTCTGACAGGTGTAAGATGGTATCTCAAAGTTGTTTTGATTTGCATTTCCCTGATCGCTAAGGAGGTTGAGCATGACCTTAAGTGTCTTTTGGCCGTTTGAGCTTCTTCTGTCTGCCATTTTCTAACAGCCCATGGAGTCTCATTCTGAGCTTGCTCTCCAGGTGCTCCCACTCGTCTTGCTGCAGCAAGAGACTGGGAAATCTTTTATAACTATAAAGCATTTTGAAAGTAAATGGAGCCAGGCGGTGGTGGCGCATGCCTTTAATCCCAGCACTCAGGAGGCAGAGGCAGGCAGATCTCTGTGAGTTCAAGGCCAGCCTGGTCTACAAGAGCTAGTTCCAGGACAGACTACAGTGAAACTCTGTCTCGAAAAACCAAAGAGAAAGTAAGAAAGAAAGAAAGAAAGAAAGAAAGAAAGAAAGAAAGAAAGAAAGAAAGAAAGAAA